GATATAAATCCTGCATGACCATATTCAGGAATTTACCATAATTCCCATATATTCCTGATTATGGGTAATGCAGGATTTATATCATCAACCGAATGCAGGGCTTTTTACTACGAAGAAAGACTTGGGCGAGCACGGAGACAGCAGAGTCGGGGTCGGTGGGTTTTGTGCCGTGCAGTTTAGGATTCAGGCTGGTAAACCCGGTTTAGGTTTTAGGGTGCATCCCGGTGAAGGCTTCTAGTGAAGCGAAGTGTCCTCGCATAGAACTGTGTATATGTTTGCCTGGAAACCTTACTCTATTTATGTAGTCCCCCACACTGAACCCTATCGTGCTTATAAGGCAGGTGCGGTCCTGGGTTCCTTCTCGGTCCTGGTCCGTGCCTTCGTTTCCGTAGGTGTAGGGTTCGGGTTTAGGCAGGAGGACCTACACCTGGACAAAACTCGTCCCGCCACACCCAGAGATTCCAATATCCCTTAATTAAGGAATATACCTTAAATTATAGTATTATCCCTTATATGATTTAGGGTATATTCCTTCATTAAGGGATATTGGAGTCTCTGGGCACCTCAAACACCGTGCCGCTTCAGCGCCCTTTGCAGGCATCGCTGGCAACAAGCAAGGCGGTCGCTGCCCCAGAGTGTCGATCACGGTCGACTAAAGAAGTCAGTTCTAATTCGATGCAGGATACTTACAACTTACAGATTCACATACCCCCATCCTAAATCCATCACTCTGTCCCATGCTCCGTTTCGCAGTATAAAGGCTAGACCCTGAGCCCTAAGCCCAAACCCCTTTGTCGCAACCCGCCTCATAGTAACTCGTACAGTCTTTCAAAGGAAGTGCAGCCCTTCGAAGCCGTAAGGCTTCAAACCCAAAACCTTGTAAATCCTGAACCCTAAACCCCTATAAGACCAGTGGCATTCAACCAACCTAACTCAGGCAGGGGGAAAAGAGGGTTCAAACAAAAAAAACCTATAAAACCCTAGAGCCCCAAATCCTTGGTCGAAAGTCGGTTCTATTTGTCTGCGCTGCGAGGCTGTTTATCTCGGTGGCGCTCTCGCGGCATTCGCCGGACCTGAGGAGAAGCGGCTTCAAGGCGCTGGGCTTAAGGGCAAAGCCAGAAAGTTGGAATGATTATCCTAACCCTTCTATGGTAAATTATCGGGTATCCTACCCTGAAACAATATTCCAACTTTCTGGAGTTCCCTTTATAGGGCTCAGGGTTTAGTCTCTGTTGCACTCTATGGTCCGGCTTAGGTCTGTGTCTATAAGGCTGCTTTCGGTGTGGGGCTTGATGTTCTTTGTGCAGGATGGGCTGGTCTACGACAGCCAGCACTCCAACACTTTGAAGCCCTACAACCTGGCCTAAACCCTACCGAACCTCAGACCATTCATGTTTGAGATGTTATTATGAAAAGCATGCTGTTCGTCCTCGACCACCAAACTCTCAAGTAAGGCCAAGGAACTTCATCTCGAAATGGCCATAACAGTCTTAAGCTGCTCGGCCATGCCCTAAACTCCCAAGCCCTAGGCCCTAAACCGTAAGGATCTCGAATCGTTCAGGCCAATCTCGTTCTGCTGCATGAGCATTCTGCGGACTGGGCGGGTCGAGGCCGGGACTTGTTGTAGGCTTTTGAATGCGGCTTCGGTTTCAGGTTCCCTAGGTTTGAGGACTTGCAGAAAATAGCCAACCCCAATAAGGCAGATCTGTCTGGCAGGTTGCATGCGTCTTACGAGGACCTCAAAAGAAGGCAGAGCTACGTAATTCAGTAAAGCGCCAGTCTGCTTCGGGTGAGAACTACCGGAACTACAGGCGTGGGGCAAGGGCCTCAAGCCTGTAACTTGCAAGCCTCTACCAGGACCCTCCTTGTACCCTCAACTAGGGGTATATGGTCCCAAATAAGGGGCATTTAGGGTCTAATAGAGGGTAGATGGAGGGTCTAGGTACATAGATCCGGGAGATATTATGACAGAACTAAAGTTTGGGTACTAGAGAACCTTGAAAAACGGTCTTGGTACTTATTCCGAAAACTGTGTGCAACCCTAAGCGCTAGCCTCCCCGAACACAAAGCCCAGAAAAGGACATCTCTAACCCACATTGGCATGATGAGTACGCAAAAACTCTATAGAACCTGAACCCCCAAAGCCCTATTCTATGTGCCCAGTGTTTCCTGAGGTCCCTTTGCATTGCTTGGGCGCGAATTCTGCGACTGGACACCGTGCCGTGGCCCTCACAGCCCTGACCCCACCCTCAGCCGCTGCAGACCGAACAGCTCCTACTCTAGGCGCCTAAATAATTACCTATACTATGTCGAGGGTTCCTTACTATAAGTATAATGGGCCCCAAAACCCTATTTAATAATTATTACGGCCCCTATGTTAAGTCTAAAAGGATACCCACGAGCGCAGCACGAGGTACGTGGGGAGTCAATGCGTGAACCCGGGCAGCAGCGAGCTCTATGCCAGGAACTTGGAACTGCTTCTGCAGTTGTGCATTGTCGAATCTAGGGGCCTAAATAATTATCAATACTATTTTGGGGATTGCTTTGTTCTAGCACTATAGCATAATATGCCCCAAAACCCTATTCAAATTTTTAAGGCCCCTATATTACCAGGCAGTCGGCTAACACATGAACCTGCAGTCAGTGCATAGTCTGAGGTCTCGATGGCACATGCCGAAACGACTCTTGCTGGTGTCGTGATACGATTGGTGCTGAACAAGGCTGGGCACTCACATCAGGTTTGTGTATCATTCGCATGCAGCGTTGAATACCTGAACGTCCTTTTGGTCCTGGACCTGCTTGCTTGGGCTCGCCACGAGGCCTCAGCCTTGTTTCCGGCACTGCAGCCGCGGCAGGCCGCTCGGGAAGTGAATCAAGCGTCCTGGTAAGTGGGTTACGGTGTCGATGGTGTGACGCCAAAGATGGCAATGATGGTCACGGTAGCGGCGGTAATGATGTCTCATGGTTGTGCTAGCCATGGCGATGACGATCATGGCGGTTCATTATTAAGCTGATGTTCGCTGTTTGCTGCAGTGCTGCAGCTCGCAATACTTGGAAATGATATCCCCTATATGACAAAGTATGATATAACACCCCCTTCCCCAACTCTAAACCGAAACAGCAGGATCCCCACATCCAGCAGATGGCGGTCGCGCTTGGTCAAACACCACCTTCTTTGCTCGCACAGTTCGGACCCCAATTTTCGCTGATGCCTCCTCACCAGCATTTCCCGAGAAGCCCTTCTTCTGGGGCTTTAGGTAGACCCTGTTGATTCTAGGGTTTAGGGTTTTAGGTTTTAGGGTGTTTGGAGCCCTGTGTTGATTTTCGTACAGATGCTTCTGGGGCTATCTGCTCCTGCCTGGACAAAGGCTGCACCTGCAGGGAGGCCGTGGCGCTGCGGCCTTGGTTTTGTCTTGAAGCTCTATACATTTTAGGGCTATAGGGTCTAGGGATTGGTGTTTAGGATTTAGAGTTTTAGAGTTTAGGGATTTGGGTGTAACCTTGCTACCTTAACTAAGAACCCCGACAGATGCTTATTCCCGCCCGATCCCCGATAAACTCTAACTTCAACAACCTCCCTCGGCCCTAACAATTTTCTAACCACCCATGGGGCAGGATTCTTCGCCCTTCGAGACGCTTTAGTCACAAGAAGAGTTCAGAAAGCCGGCCTGGATGGATGTTTTTGTAGTTTGGGTGTGCCCAGGGCTTGAAGACTTCAGGTTGTAAAGCTTTTGAGATCTAGGGTTGTGCTTTTGTTTTTGTTTTTCCAGGTTTGGGTTTTAAAGTTGAAGGGGGGCCGTTCCAAAGTAGAACTTCTTTTCCGGGTCTCTATCAGGTGCCGTTTTTTTGCACTGCTCTTCGGTCGTAGGTATTTTTACAGGGAAAACCCCAAGTTATGTAGACCTTGTAATACAGCCTAAACTAAGCCCTGTCTTATGTCCAGGTCTTGTTGGAAGTGCCTCCAAGCTTGGGAAGGTCCGGCTTGCGTCGTGGAGTTTCTTTCTGAAGCTGGTAGGGTGGGGCTGCATTGAGGCGATTGCTTGTAGGGTGGGGTTTTCTGGATGGTTTGAGGGTTTCGGGGATTTGGGGCTTGAGGGATTTAGGGTTCGGGGTTGAATTGCATCAAATGGTTGGTGCAGCATGTGATGTAGCTTCCATCCGATAATGGTAAGCATTGCTCAGTGCACAGTGTCCTCAGTACATACTGAAATAGGCAGCATACTATGCCTCTTCATCTCAAGCACGAACGCCGACTACCACCGTGGACCGTCGCCACTATTGTACCAGAACCGGACTTGGAATCTTCAACACAGTGTTAAATTTGGGGTACGTGTCGCTGGAAGCACGCCCCTACGGCCTGCGCTCTGTCTTGCGAGATTGATTAAAGATTTCGGTCAAGGGTCGAGGGATATTGATGCGTCGACAATCGTTCCGCGTTGGGCATCTTCCTGTCAGCTCGGGTACCTTACCAGGATCCCTAGTTTCGAGGGCCCGACCCTACAGATCCTGACAAAGAAAGCTGCAAGGCTCCATGAGGACCTTCGTCCTTTGGGCCGACATTCGCTTAGCAGGGCCCTTGTTAAAGTTATCTCTGCAAAAGTGGTCAAGGCGTCTGGGTTTAGGGTATCGGCTTAAGGTTAAGGGGTTCCTGGTTTGGGGCTTCTTTGCTGGTTTGCAACTTCGACGGTGAGCCCAGAGCTCAACCCATGCGAGCATAACATGCTCCAGAGCCTTTATCTAAATGCACTAGGAACCACCGCAACATAGAACCCGTTTACCCTTATACAAAACCCCCTTAAAGCCCTCTTCTGAAACCCTAAAACCCTAAACTACACCCTACACCCTCCCTAAACCCTAAGACCTTAAAAGCCCTACCCTATTCCTTTGAAAAGAGAGAAAAGGCAAATATATTTATGTAATACTAATAATTGTAACAATTATATACTATAATACAATTTATCGCAAAAACAAAGAAAAGGCAAATATGTGCGAATAATGGTAACAACAGTTATAAGACTACTAAACACCTATAGCAATGACATTCACTATAGTCATCATACTACTTTTAAGAATAAGAGAGAAAAGGCTGGACGCACCTCCAGCGGCTGCGCGAGCTCCCAAGCCTGGCTGCCGGGAAGATCGGGGAGCCGGAAGCTCGGACCCTTGGTTTCGGAGCTGAGGGGTTTAGGGGTTTAGGGGTTAGGGGTTGAGAGTTTGGGGTTTAGGGGTTAGGGGTTTAGGGTTTGGGGTTTAGGGGTTAGGGGTTTAGGGGTTTGGGGGTTTAGGGTTTAGGAGTTTAGGGTTTTTTTAGGGTTTTAGGGGTTTAGGAGTTTAGGGGTTTAGGGTTTAGGGATTAGGGGTTTAGGAGTTTAGGGTTTTTTTTAGGGGTTTAGGGGTTTTAGGGGTTTAGGGTTTTCTTTGGGGGTTTAGGAGCTTGGGGGTTTAGGGTTTGGGGGTTTAGGGGTTTTGGTGATTTTTTTAGGGGTTTTGGGATTTAGGGGTCTAGGGTTTAGGCTTTTTTGATGGGTTTCGGTGTTTAGTTAGGTTTTTTTTTGGGGGGGGGTTAGGGGTGGAGGGTTTAGGGTGTAGGGGTTTAGGGTTCAAGGGTTTAGGGCTTAGGGTTCCTTGACTTTGGGAGTTTGTGGTTCCTGATGTGTGCTTTTTGCTCAATGGTGTGTGTTTTCATGTTCTGTTGTTGCTTACAGTTTGTGCTCTCTCTAGCTATTGTTTCTCGCAGACCACACAGATTGCTGAGCGGGGGGGGGGGGGGGGGCGCACAATATTTGCACGAGCCAGTGTGCACACCTGCTGTGTGTTCGCCGTGCTTTTTCAAGCAGTGTCTGGGCGTGATTCGTGTCCCTCCTGGCGCTCTTCAGAATGAGATGGTATTACGGGACAGGTGACCATACAGCAATAGAGCACCAGTGTTTGAATATTCTTGGGAGTGTGTCGCAGATCCCCCAACTCCAATCAAACCGCGTCGAGAAACCGCACTACTAAGCCTGAAGCCCCAAGCCCCAAACTCAAAGAGCCAGAAATCCTTCCAAAAATGTTGTAATTGTATCCCCAGAAGCCTCACCCCTGAAAGCCAGGCACCCTGCCGACACCATCGTCCTTCGGGCCGCCCGGAAGCAGAAGCGGTTTAGCGTTTCGGGTTCCAGAAGCAGAAGGATTGAAGTCTCGATTGGGTTTACCCCAAACGCCCTTAAGCCCAAAGCCTTGAAACACTGGACCCGTCAGCCCTCGACCTTCAAAGCTTGAACCCCGAAACTCTACAACACTCGTCCTAAAGCCGAAATAAACCTAGCACTAAACCCCTAAGCCCCAAACCCCTAGACCCTAAGCTCTTGTCCGAGGCCGCCGACCTCGCCGGCGTGCCGTCTTCGAGGCAATGGCTGTTACGGTCGTGCCTTTCTGAGGTTTAGGGTTGGGGAGTCTGCGGCTTAAGGTTTAGAGTTTCAGGTGGTCGGGAGTCGAGGCTTCAAGGTTTGGGGCTCTAGGATTTCGGAGTTTAGGGTTTAAGGTTTATGTGGGGTTCTAGGTTTCGGGGCTCAAGGCTTCTATAAGGTCTAAGGTTTATGTAGGGTTCTAGGTTTCGGGGTTCAAGGCTTATAGGGTCTAAGGTTTATGTAGGCTTCTAGGTTTCGGGATTCAAGGCTTGAGGTCCAGAGTTGTTCTTCGGAGGAGCTGGACACTAAGTGTACTCACGCCTACATGTTCAGTTTAGAGCTGAGGCTTGGGGCTTTTGGCGTGGGGTTGGTTTTGACGAGCTTGTTTTGTAGGTCCGCATCAGCCTTACATTCAACACCGTAGGGCTTGTATTATCTGGGCCTGACAGCAAGAAAGTACTGTTAGAGCTGAGCTCTTGGTGAGATAGTAGAAAGGCCTGAGCCATTCATTCGACATAATGGTTCCTTGCATTGCTTCTGCAGTTCCTACATCGTTGTACTGTGACATATCGCGAATCGATCTCAGGCCCCACCGTAAAGCCTTAGCATCAGGGCTCCTCTCTTTTTGCGGGCGTGAACTCAGAGATAGGTTCTAACTGTCGGCTCTTACGTATTGCGACTTTCTGTCGGATTCTGTCGTCGGGGGATTCAGGCGCGGAAGCCTGAAATTCCAGAGCGAGGCTCTTGGAGTATGTCCTACACCTCAAACCCCACATCCCGCACATGCAAACTCTACTACCGCAACTCCGATGCCCCTGTAGACCCGAAACCCCCGGTTCCTGGTAGGGTCTGGGCCGGGACCAGGCAGAAGCCGGCGATGGAGGATGTCTTTGGACTGAGCGCCTGAGGCTCAGAGGCAGGCAGCACGAGCCGAAGCGAGCATGCAGAAAACTCTTTAAGGTTTTTGTAACAGGGGCGCTTGATTGGGTTTTAGGGGTTACGGTTTAGGGTTTAGGGTCTCTGGGGCCCTTTAGAGAGGGGATGAGGACCATATTTCATCGGTTGTTTCGTTCAGGCGGTTCGGATTTCAGGCTGCCGCTTGTTGGGATGTAATGGCCCAGAGAGGCTCGGATACAAAAAAGCCCTGAACACAGCATATCATGAGCCCAAAACCTCAAGATATCACGGCCTTAACCGTTTAGGAAGCCTACCCAAACCCCAAAAGTAGGCAAAATCGTGGCCCTTCACCTATAAAGGGCTGTTATCCTACATACTGTTGGGGTCTAGGTAAGACGTAAGCCTTTCAGGCTTTGAGACGTCTGAGACGTCTGAGCTCAGGATGTGCCCCTCCACCAGCTGCACGTGCAGGTGGAGGCTCAAAGGGGACCCTAGACCTGGCTCATGCAATATAGGGGCTCAAAAAATTGCCAATTATTAAATAGAGTTGCTTGTCATATTGATGCTACAGTCAAAATGATACTAAGGTAACGTAGTGATCGGAATACTTAGATACTATAGTATGGTTTGTTCTAACTTAGAATTGTAATTCCAGCACTGAAATCGTGTTGTTGCGTTTATTGGCAATGTGGTCCCCTGAAAGTTCTTCTATACGTAGTGATAGCCTAATATACGCCCCAGACCCTATTCCAGTTATCGCGGCCTCTATAATAGACATCCTAAAGTTTGGGGCAAAAGGGCTCCAAGGTGCTTACCTATAGTCTCCATTGTAGATCCTTTTTTTCGGTGTAACCAATTATATAATTAGGGGATCCTATAAGGTAACCCCCAAAAGGAACTACAATGGAGACTATAGGTACCAGACCCTACTTGGAGGGTCGGGGGACTTAGTAACTGGTTATTTTAGGGACTTGTAAGTACCATAACCCCAATTAGGGTCCCTTTTAGGGTACTTATAAGTCTACTTACTGCAGGATTTAGGGTTTCGAGCTGGAGTCCTCGGTTTAGTTAGGACTAGGAGTTCGTCGAGTCAGGTTGTAGGGATCCCTTATGGGTGGTTGTCAAAATTATGGCCCCTTTTTAAGTCCCTATTATAGTACGGCACCTAATATTTAGGGTACCCTAAAAGGGACCCTAATTTTGACAACTACCCTTATGATTCAAGGGTTTCGGCAAACTGCGCAGGTCGTCGACTGGAAGAGCAGTTCCTGGGATGTACCCAGAGACTCCAATATCCCTTAACTACGGAATATACCTTAAATCATATAATGGATCCTACTATAATTTAAGGTATATTGCGTGACTAAGGGATATTGGAGTCTCTAGGTCTTCGGGGCTGGATGGATTTGCAAACCAGAACTGCTCGTGCCAAGTCTTTGGTGAAGTCGCCTACTTACGTGGAGACCGTCTTTTTCCCTTTGCCATATCTGATATGTAAACTCATGTGCCGATGCTAGCCGAGAGCGCCGGATCTCTTTGACCACGGCAGGAGAAGCTTCAGGAAGCCCTGGAAGCACCATCCTCATAGGGTTTAGGGTTAAGGGTGTAGCATTCATCCCGAGTCTTCTTCGGGCTTCTAGGGTTCAGGCATTCTTCTTGTAATCGGTGAGCACCAGGTGGCTGTTGCTGGCTCCAAGATTGGGGTGCTGTTTTGGATGCCTTCATGCAGCTATAGCATGTCAAGATCATATGGGGTGTTCGTTGATGCTGCTTTGCTCGAAAGCCTGAGGGGTTCTATTTGAGCATATGAGGGCTCAGGCTCCATCATGCATGTTCGTGTGTTGAGCTCCGCCCATCCTCGCGAAGTAGGGCCCGTTTACCCATGATTTGGTATTTTTGTGTTGCACTCCTTCTAGACCGGCAATGCTGCGTCAGGGCCGAGCCCGACGCAGACTCAACAGAAAAGGATACCTATAGCCTCCACTGTTGTTCCTATGTTGGGTCACCTTTCAGGATTCTCATTATAAAATTGGTTCAGCAAATAAAAGGAACAACAATGGAGACTATGGGTAGTGTCATTGGGTGTTCCTGACAGAGTATTTAGATTTTAGATTATATGGTTATGGTCATGGTATATTGTAGTCTAGTCTAGTATTTTGATATAGTATATCATGTGGTATCATATCGTGTATTTTAGTATATTTTGGTATATTAGACTATAGTCTAGTCTAGTATGGCTGAGGTCGTGCTTCCGGATCTGGAGGCTGCTCCTTGCCTCAGCCACTTCGGCTCGTTTCTGCCGGGCTTTGGATGATTTTCTATCTGGCAGGTGTTTTTTTTTTTTATATCGGGATGTCCGAGTATAGTATAGGGGGGCTATAGCAATTAGCACAAAGTTTGGCGGTACAACAAGAACTTGACAAGATTGCCTTGGCATTTCGGGGGTTTTCGGGCCTTCAGACTTTCGGAGCGGGGTTTCTCACCTGCGAGTCAGGGGCTGAGATAGGCATTGTTGAGGAGTTCAGGGTGTAAAGTAAATGTAAAACCAGGTCAATTCAGTTGTAGCAGAGGGAATCGAGAAAATGGACCACAGCAGTAGTGGCAGCAATGGCAAGAAGTAGGCAATGACCCACCAAAAGCGTAACACGCGAAGACGAGCAAAAGCAACATAACTTCTGCGTGCAAAGCCAGGCGCAAGAAACTGCGACCGCCCCGGAGGCGTGCTAACTGTTAAGGAATGGTCGTTGCCCTTGGGCTGTTGGGGTAATTTCCGAAACTTCGGGCGCGAAAGCCTACGCGAGGAAGCTGTCGTGCCACGACACGGCACGGAACCTCGGGCTTCGCGTTTAGGGATCCTTAATCGAAAAGCCGTAGGTGGACCCCAAAGTATGTAGAATAATAGCCTTTTCTAGGTTTTGGGCCATGATTTTACCTACTTTTGGGGTTTAGGTAAGCAGCCTTAGCATGTTTCGGGGTTTAGGGGTTGAGGGGTGTGGGGTTTAGGGTCTTCAGGGTAATCCTAAGCTCTCAGCCCTACTTGATGCCTTCTGGAAGTCATCTTGGCTTCTCGGAGTCTTGGCGCCTTTCAGTTCCGACTCTCACCGAATCAATGTTGACAGCATTTCTGCTACCAATTAGGTGTTCGTTCTGTAATCTTGGGGAAATTCGTTCAAGGATTTGGGCATTTCTGTGTCTTGAGAGGTGCGGACGCTGTCTCCCGCGCCGACTGCCTGTTGAAGTCCTTCAAAGCGCCAGAGGTCCGGGCCTTCCGCAAACCTCCCCCACTCGTCCAAGTTTAGGGTTCGGGGTTTAGGGGAAAACAAGATCAGAACACGGGAGGCCCAAAATTCTGTATCCCGAGCCCTCGAACCCGTGGCCTTCAGCCTAGAAAGGCACGAGTCCCAAACTCCAAACCTGACAGTTTTTGGCCGTTTTCTGCACCAAGACCTGCAACCTTTCTACGTGAAGCCTTGAAGCCGGACCCAATGAGAAGCGGCTGCGAGCCAAGTATGTCATAGAGGATCCCGTGTAGTCAGTGACGTTCCTTCTTGTAAACTGTCCCATCAGTTTTCAGTGTACTACGAAAAATCCTCACTTCTTGTTTTACTTGTCGAGGTCAGCCCCGACGGTGGCAGCAGGTAATGGACAGAGCCCTACGTCATAGAGATCCGGGCAGATAGCACGAAACTCGAAAGCTTATAAGGTCAAAATAATCAACATAGCGTTTTGGGGTAGAGTAGACTATAACCATACTGATAGAGGGACCATGAGGAAATTCGGTTACTAATTATTCGTGCTCGGCATCACGTTGATTCCCTCTGGGGGCTGCAGTGACAAGTTACCCCGAAACCCTCAACGCTAAACCATAAGTTTGACTTCGAAGATCCACATCGGAAGTGGCAATACGCTAAATCAAAAAGTGAACTCACTCCGGCACTTCTTGAAGCCCTCTGAGCCTGCACACAGGCCCACGGCGGCCGACAAGAAGACGTTTTGCCAGCCATCTCATGGAAGCCTGTGCCCCAATACAGGGGCCAAAATCAGGTTGTGACATGCACATGCGACCTAAAACGAAACTCTACTGCATACGCCGCCAGCTTAAGAGAAAAAACGACTAGCCAAGATGGATGAGTTGTGTAACACACATGGCCAAAACTGAGGACACTTCGGGGCTTGCGAACGCAACCCTAAACCATCCTAAACCCTAAACCTTGAACTCTAAGCCGCGCCGCAGAGCTCTAGAATGGAGTCTCCATCAAGCGGGCACTTCTCCAAATTAGGGTCCCTTTTCAGGTCCCCAAAACAGTACGGCACCCTTAGACATTAGAGAAAGGACCCTGAAAGGGGCCCTACATGGGAGAACTACCCAAATGGCGCCCAGGGAGTGGGCCGACGTCATGACGGCAAGGCAACAGCCTATACAGGGTTTAGGGGCTTTCGGCCTTTCGGGGTTTAGGGTGTTGGGATTTAGGGGTTGAGGGGTTTAGGTTGTTGGGGTTTCAGGGTTTTGAGGGTTTCGTTGGCAGGTTGGGCGGCATGTTTTGCTTATTATCCGCGGACAGCCCCTACATAGAACTCGAATGGTGGTTTGGGAAATGCATCATGACCACCAGCGCCGGGAACTCATTATCTTAGAACTGATCCTGCACCGTAACACCCTCATCACCGCACATCGCGAAGCCCCACTTACCCGTCACTGCCCCAGAGAAGGATCATGCCTTTAGGGCTGTAGGGCTTTCGGGCCGTGGTGTTTGGGGCTTCACAGGCTCGAAGGACTTGTTAGTGAGTATCGTTTTTAAGTTATAAGCTACCTAGGCTATGGTCATAATTAGTTACAGCCTTACTTATAACCCTGCTTGCTAAGTTTCCCGATCCTGTTAATCTTCAGTCCTTTGATCTTTCGGAGCTAGACGAAGATCCCAGGGCCAACTACGACACATTCTGGTTCCACAAGAGATCGCCGAAGTCATGGGCTGCGAGACATTCGGTGCCACAGAGGATTGCTTAGATCATGGCATCGACGTCGGAAAACCATGGGACCCGCGGGGGGTGGTTGTCAAAATTAGGGTCCCTTTTTGGGTCCCTATGATAATACGGCACCTATTATTTAGGGTACCCAAATAAAGGGACCCAAATAAAGGGATCATAAACCCTAAACCCTAAACCCTAAACCACCCCGGGGTTGAAAGGCTCGACGAGGCCGCTCGGCACCTCGAGAAGTTGCTCAGTGCGCGGCCCGGCACAGGACTTAAAAAAGCGCATGGTAGCTATCCTAGGGTTCCTTTAAAGGGATCTAGAAGGGTACCTTTAAGGGTCTCCTTTAAGGGATCTATAGGGGGTTTAGGGTATAGGGTTGATGACATAAATCCTGCATGACCCAGAATAAGGAATATACCACAATTCCCATATAATCCTTGTTATGGGTAATGCAGGATTTATATCATCAACCGTATCCTGGGAGGCTCCTTCACAGATTCCTCTACGGGGTTCTGTACATGCTTTCGATGGCTTCCGCAAGGGTTTTTCAGGCTCCCCTTCGTGGAAAGTTCAGGAGGACTTGGGTGGCATTTGTTCAGGGCGTGGAGGGTTTATCACGTTTGAAGCCCTACGTTCTAGCTGCTACTACTGTTGATGATTCAAATCCTGCATTACCCACAATAAGGAGCATGCCGTTCTTCCCATGGTTTGATTTCCTTAAATGCAGGATTTATCTCATCAACCGTAGTACAAGACATGAACCCAAAAGCCTCTAACCCCAGCTCTAACCCTAAACCCATAGCCCTGGATCTGAAATGCTGATCCACGCCCTAGAACCCTGTGATGATCTAGCTGGCATTCCTTTGTGATTTCCTTGGAATGGTAACAGCCTAGAATGATAGCATAAGATAGATCGAAATCGCCTTAAACAGGCTCAGGCCCCTAAAGTGATCTCCAACCCTGCACTACATAATGATATCCGTGTCCCTTCAAGGGTGTTCTGCATGGCGATGTTTTTTTGAGGATCCATGTTGACGGGCCCGAGTGTAGAGAACTGCATAGGAGCTGTATTTTCCACTATATCTATTCATCAGGGTTCCATCTGGATCACGAGGCTTCGACTTGCCCCATGAGATGCCGCGGCAGCCGCGCCGCGGTCTTGGCCGGTGGGGTTCTAGCACGTTGACTTTAGGGGATTATAGAGGCCTTAATGATTGACATAGGCTGTTACAATGGTAAGGTTCTAGATTTCCGAGTTTGGAGTTATGGAGTTTGACAGGTCATAGTCTCAATTGAATCAGATTTCGTGTGAATTGGTTGTTTGGTGGCCGCAGTACTATAGTGCCTGCTTTCAATATGGGTGGTTGTCAAAATTAGGGTCCCTTTTTGGGTCCCTATTATGGTACGGCACCCACTATTTAGGGTACCCAATTAGGGACCCCATCTTTGACAACTACCCATGTAATTCTATCCTCGGATGGAAGCGAGGAGACGGAGTTCAGGTTCTTAAGGATCGAGCCTTGACCCGAACTAATCACTTCTTTGAACCCCAAGCCCGGGCTTGAAGCCTTCCCAAAAGAGATACTTCGCACTACAAGACTCTAGGGTATATGGTTTGCGGGGTTTAGGGTTGACATGATTCAGTGTCAGATGGTCTTGTAGAGCTCGTCTCTCGCAGAGCTTACGGGTCCCCATGAACACCATCATCTGAAAAGCTTAGCCTGAGGGCCCGACCCTAAACCGCCGAAGCCATTCGCTACATCCCCAACACCCCCAAAGCATCAACACAATAGCAATGATAAGTATAATGATAACAAGACTAGTTTTGTTATTGTGACAGAGAATAGCAGAAATAACAATAGCAATAAGACTAGTAATACTCAGCTTCAACCTATGAAGCCCAGCAGGTTTCGCGGTCTTGGATGACTTTCTGCCGACTGCGGTGGCCGCAGCACTCTCGGAGGAGAGATCTGTTCAGGGCTTTTGGGTGCTGGAGGGCTCCGGGCTTAGGCCAAGAGAGGCTTAGCGTTTCGGGTTTAGGGTTTTTGGAGACTTGGGGACAAATAATTAGACACGGGGACCTTCTTCTGGGGGTTTTGCGGTTTCGGATTTGGTGTTTATATGTCTGCTTTGGACTTGAAGTCCTGGCCTAGGCTACAGCGAAGACCCTCGCACATGGGTGTTTAGTTTCGGGTGTAGGGTTCCCTCAAGATCTGCAACTTCTTCTAGACTAACCTCGCTGCTACAGGACACTGGTAACGTCTGAGAGAACCACACTGACACTAGGCCCGGGCAAACCCGAAACCTGGACATGCCCAATCTCCAATCAAAAAGCCCAGAATTGTTTCGAGGCCTAAAGACAGAATGAATCTGAATCGCAGGCTCTGTGGAGCAAGCAAGCTAGGCCCCATTCTCCTAAGAATTCAGAACAAAACCTGAAATTCTACAATGCCTGCAAGACTCCTACTAACTCTAGTTCTCAAAGCAAGTCAACCTCTTAGGCCCTCAAGCCCTAAGCTCTAAACCCAAGCCCAGAACAAAGCACCACACCCTCAGCCGAACAAATGGTTTGTCACAGGAGCTACCAGACCGTTCCCTGGACCTTTGTGCTTGGGACTCAGAAGATCAAAGGATCCCAGTACTATCGGGGCATTCCCAAAACTCTTCCTTAGGTTCCTTTATATGACTTTAATTACCATCACATCTACACCTTAAGCCTACAAACTATAAGCCTTACAAGCCCCGAAAGAGAAACCCTCAAACTGGACCGGTATACCGCAAAACCCTCAGACTTCAAGCCCTCGAAAGCCTTCTTAGCTCGCCGAGGGCGTTTTGCGCGACTGCTCCTTGGGCGAGTTGAAATGCGAGCTGCAGCTGGACCCTCAAAGAGATCCTGGAACCTACCTGTAGGGAATGAAAGGGGCCTTATAAAGGGGTCTATAAGGGCTACTATAAGGGATCTATAAGGGTTCTATAATATAGGGGCCTTAATAATCCTATAACTTACCTTTGGTTAGTAGGGAATGGAAGAGTGGTAGTAATTATAACTGTACCCCCATTCCTCCATTCCCTACTAACCCAAGGTAAGGTGGTCCCCATTGTAGGTCCCCTGTTTTGTTTGAGCAAGTTTTCTGGCTAAGGTCCGATGATATGAAATTGGTTTATGTACCGGAAATAGGAACTACAATGGAGGGTTTATCTAGGGACCCTTGGGACCGTTGGGGATAGATAGATTCCTCAACAGGAAGATCCTCACCAAAAAGGGTGCCTACCTTGTCTTGTAGCTATTCCTGGCTGGGATATCCTGAATAACCACTGCACTGTACTAGGTGGTAGCTTGGGACGCCTTTACGTCTTTGATTTCCCAAAAGCAACCTATCCGGATGCCTCTTCATGGTAGGATTTGGGGCCCTTCAACTCCAAACCCAGCATGTGGGCTTGGGCTGCTACGATCGAAGCCCCGAAGGCTACGGCAGAATCTGTAAACTTATATAGATGAATAAACGTAGATGAATGTATACGTGTATATATATATATACACACATGCAAACACACACACACACACAGGGGTTGGAATCAGTACTGTTGCTATTCCTTCGGGTATCTTATTAGAGCTACGCTATACGTAGTATACCCGAAAACCCCTTTCCATTTGCTAACCCCATGGCCCATATATCTATGGTACCCATATCAAACTGCAAGAGCCACATGATCGAGATCCACAGACCTTCCACCGTGGGCGAAAAGACCGATGGTATGTATGAATATCTGTCCAATAGCAGCAGCTAGGATTGTGAGGTTGAGAGTTTAGTGAGCTGTTGGTAAGGCTGGCGCGGAGGCCCCACAAGGCTTAAGGCTACCCGCTGGGCTGACAAGATACCACGTCAGTAACGACAATGTGCGCAAAGAATATACAAGCGCGAAACCCGACGACGAAGTCAGAACCTTAAACCTGAAACCCTAAACCAAAACCCCAACCCCTATAAGCCCTAAAACCCTATTGCCGCAAGCGCCCTCGACGCGTAACCCCCGACCCTACACCCACCCCTTCCGCTGGAGGTCGGAAAAGCACGAGTTCGGCAGGCTCCTGGGTTTCGCTCTTGCCTATAGTCTCCATTGTAGTTCCTTTTTGGGGTTACCTTATAGGATCCCAATTGTATAATTGGTTAAACCAAGAAAAAAAGAAGTTAAAATGGAGACTATAGGTTGGGCTGAGGAGAGCTGAGGTTTGGGTTTAGGATTGGGGCTTTTGGTTGAGGCTTGTCGGATTAAGATTGCGGCTTTGGGTTGAGGATTTGAGGTTTCTGATTGTTTCAAGGTTTTGGGCTGTGAGATGAGGTTTTGGATTCAGGATTGAAGTTTCGGGAGTTGGGGGTTTAGCGGATACATCACTGGAACCTGTCCTTTTCGCGCTTCATTGGTCATCTCGCCCTATCACTATCGAAGCTGGTCCTCCACCCCGATAATTTATACTTCAGGACCAAAAAAGTACGGTAGCATAAACTCTGGGCCGGGATATCCTTACCTTACGGCTGACGTCAAGAGGGGATTATGCTTTGTTTGTTTACGTGCTTTTGCGGGCCGGCTGTTACAAGCCGAAACCGTCAGTCGGTTCTTGATGTGAACGCCGCAGCAGGATCAGCAAAGCTATCAGCACGCCCTGGGCGCTCGAGGCAAGACATGTCGAGATGTAGGGTTGTAGACTCTTGGGGCTTGAGAGTTCTGGGCTTGGGGTTAATTTGTTTTTGGTTTGGAGGGAGGGAGGGGGCGTAACAACATCCGCACATCATGTCCAAACTAACTAACCAAGTTGGAAACCACCCGGGAGGCTTGTTTTTCCAGAATGCACAACATGCATGCCAACAAGGATGCCTTCGCAGTAAGTTTGCGCAGGCAGCCTTGCGATCTCACCTATACTGTCGAGGGTTTACGGTTTAGGGCCTCGTGATCTAATTGCACTCTGCATTTCTTTCCGAGTCAATCAAGACCTTCATAAACCCCCAAGGTTCAATCAAAGAAATTTAGGGCCCTTAATAATTAGAACATGGTTTTGGGGCCCATTATACTATAAGTATAACCAGGAACCCCCCAATAGTATTGGTAATTATCTAGGCCCCTATATTTTGGTTACCCTTAAGGTTCATTGATCCCTTGTAGTAACCCTTATAGACCCCTTTACAGGAAACCTGTTCTGATGATTTAGGCCCCTATATGAACCGGTCCTGACAGGTCAGCCACTTTGTCCTGTCCGAGCCGTTCCTTGAGCTGCTGGCGAAGGCCAGTCTTGGTAGGACACTGTTTTTTGGTGCGCACTGTGGCATGTTGTAGTATATTATGGTGTCGTATAGTATGCTACAGTATGTAATTCGTATATTATAGTGGTGAAGATCCAAGGATTAGGGGTTAGGGCAAATTCGGGTACATGGTATGTTCTTTTGGGGAACGCTATCTTGTCGTCTACCATAGCTTTAGAGGTTGGAGTTTGTACGGATTGTGTCGCGAACCTGTAGTTCTGTGCTATACACACTTACTGTCTTTGTACTTGCATTGATCGAAGCCCTGAACCTCCTAGCATTCTCCATAGGCCTGACCCCAAGCCCGAGACCACCGAACAGAATGGATGCGGCGCTGAGCTATCGAGTCTACGCGAACTCGCATGCTATCTATCCTATCCGTTGTTCTAGAGAGATGCTACTTGTAACTATATCTACTGTAGTGACAGATTAAGAGCAGGAATGAAAGTCAGATCCTCTTACATCAATGATGGCCTAGTTTTAAAGCTCATGGCGACTTGGTAGAACGAGTCTGGTGGGCACTTGCTAAAAAGTCCCCAAGTCCAAGTAAGACTCTGTAAAGCCCAGTTGAAGCAACATACTGTCGCATAACCCTACAGTAATCCCTTCAACTCTTTTGTAGCTTCGCAGGGTTACTAGAGGGACCTAAATAATTGCCAGTACTATGGTGGGTCTTCCTTAATATGCCTACCCAGAAACCGATACTAATTATTAAGGCTCCTACATTAGTCATGCCAAATGCCAAGGCCACCCATCGGCGTTTAAGACCAGCGCCTGGATTCTTGCAAGGCCAGATGTCCTGTAGTTGGCTCTTTCGGGGTCTATAGGGTTAGCATTCGCTTGCGCTTGGGGTTTCAGGCTTGCCGGCTTGCAAGTTGTGCTGGTTCCCCAGGTGCCGAAATGAGAGGATAGTGGACTGCATACTGTAGGTATGCTGAAGGCTCTATATGATCAAAGACTACGTCGGCAACCGGAGCCGTGGGGGCGGTTCTTCAGCGCATACAAGGTCCTTAAGCAGCCTTTCGCACGTCCTAGGTGTCGCAAGATTATGGCCAAGAGGAGGAGTTGGGGTGAAAGATTCGCATAGAGTCGCTCTCGGACTTTGCGGATGAGGGTTTGCCGGTATGAAGTTCACTCTAAATTTATCGAGTTCCGACTAGAGTCAGTGCAAGTATGAGAGCGCGGCGTGTAGCTTTTTTCGAGGCTCTGCTATATACAGGGCAATTGCGGTTACAAAGGTCTGCGGCGGTCTCAAGCAAGTCTGAGGCGTTTCAGGGACCGTTTGGTATGGGTCAGAGACCCAAACCGTAAACCCCTGAACCCCCGAACCCTGAACCCTACAAAGCCCCAATCCGCTAAACCTGCAAGCCCCTATAAACTAACCCTGCGAAGCCCCATGCCTGAAGTCAGTCATCGCAGGCAACCTTCTGGAAACGCTTCCATCCGGGTACTTGGGTTTGCACGAGGCTTCCCGGACATGTTTCCAACAGCTCAGGCTAGGTTTTCGGGGTTTACGGTTCCTTTCAGGGTTCTATAAGAGATCTTTAAGATTAACCCAGTCAACTCTAAAACGGCATTCTTCCAGCTGGAGGGGACTTGGGAGTGTATATTCAGGGTTTGGTAAGATTCGGTGGGTATACGGCAGGTAAGGGTTTACGCGTTTAGGTTGTGTTTCCTTCTTGCCCAGAAGACACGCAGTTTTCAGCGATCGAGCCTGGGGACTTGGGAATGATATGTGGGGTCGACAGATGGCAAGCCCCTAGTTCTAACGATCGCGCCAAAAGAGATGCTGATCAACCATCGCCGAACAGACTCGGATGGATCGTTGATTCATATGGGTTTACGGGCATATTTGTCTAGGTATACTTATTTTTCATGATATGTATAGCTATATAAGCTGCAGTCTAGCCAGATATGCTTTAACATGCCATTACAAAGCACCTTATGCTCCCGCCAGGATCGTTCACAACGGGTGCACAGGGATGCCCCTCCCACTCCCTTCGAGGACTAGAAAAGAGCTGGAGGGGTTTGAGTTTAGGGTTAGTTCAGGATTTGAGTTTAGGGTTCAGGGTTTGGTGGGGGCGCAGTCTGCACCTCGAGCTGCAGAAGAACACCTGCCGAGCGGCAGGTTGTGGAATGTTGCGTTTACATGGCAGGTTCTGACCAGGGCAAAGGCAAACTCTGCCCGCGACACAGGTGTGATTCTATAGATCTTTGCCAACGGCCCCATACACTTGTAGTATAGGCCCTGGTAGTCGTAGAATGTGCAAGGACAGTCGGCTCCCACGCGTCAACGCCATACTCTTTGTGAACGACCTCGATGGTGCAGGCTACACAGGTCAGCGCGCCGAAACCTACAGGGATAGCTACCCAGAGACTCCAATATCCCTTAATTAAGGAATATACCTTAAATCATATTAGGGGTCCTACTATAATTTAAGGAACAATCCCTAATTAAGGGATATTGGAGTCTCTGGGTACCTGCCACCACCGACCTGTGAGGCTATTGTTATCATGTGTGACACTATGCCGATATGCCGGTTGCTGCTGACGTAGATTATTGCCATTCTTGTGGTTAGTATATAGTAGCACTTCTATCTAACCATGGTTGGGCGTGCCGGCTGGCGAAATTCCATGCTCGTCCGCTCTTTCTCTGCTTACCAAACGACTTTGTTTGTAAATGGCTTAAGATTTCTGGACGGAAATAGAGCCGAAACCTCAAGTGCAAGCGCGGGATCCCAACATATTTATCTGGACCCCGAATTTGTTGGGATCGTGTTTGTCAGGAGCCGTAGACAGGGTGTTCCTAGCTTCCTTAACCCAAGACATCTCCCCGGACGTGATAGAGGTGATGATGGGGTAGAACCCTTGTCCCACAAACTTAAAATGCCCAAAGCTCCAAACCTGCCCTAAACACCAGCCCTGAACCCGTATAGAATCCTGAGAATGAGCATCATATATGAAGCTTTTGGGGGAGACAGTACTTTCAGGATCAAGGCTAGTGAGTATGATGATAAGCACCTGAAGTTTTATCTTTGATACTGCTAAGACCTTTGAAAAGTCAGTTGCCCCCCCTAGACCCCTGAACCCTAAACCCCTGAACCCTAAACCCCTAACCCCTAAACCCCTAACCCCTAAACCCGTAAGCACAGAAGCCCAAAACTCGACACCTCATAGGAGACCTGGAGCTGTGGTCTTTGGACGGAGATTGGCCCGGGGCTCGGGGCTCCCTTTAGGGCTTGGTGGGTTTAGCGGTTTTAGGGTTAAGGGTTTTAGGGTTTTAGGGTTTAGGGCTTGGTGGGTTTAGGGTTTTAGTGTTTTGGGGTTTAGGGTTTTAGGGTTTAGGGTTTAGGTTGTAGGTTGTGATTTGGAGGCCCCCCCCCCCTCTCCCTGGTTTGGGATTCTAGGGTTCTTCATTGTGTGTAATTACCAGCGCAACACCGAGCGGAGAGCCAGCATGGTAAAGCAACGGTGGGCGCAGTAGCCACACTCACAGCGCAGGGTAACATCCACAGCTTGATTCCAGTACACCCCAACAGCTTGAAAATGACCGTCGTGGTGGTGACAGAAGGAGACACGTTGAACGTGAAGCAACCACAGGGACTCAAAGCCTAAAGCCGTCAACGCCGAACCGTGGAAACCCTAAACCTTCAATTTAGAAGCTTTCTGCACCAGCAGCAAGGGCGCAATTTCCCAATTGGCCAGGGCGACGTGTACACGTTTCTTTCCAGGGATTAACCATGCTCAGCTTTTCCCAGTTATCTTAACCAGTTTTATGGTTAGGAATCTATAATAAGAAAGAAATACCAGGAGACACGCGCACGCACACATAGTAGATCCAACAGCTACCGCTGAGGGGCGAACATCCGGAGGTCTCCAGTTGCTAAGGCCCCTACATTTCAGAAATGCTGCTGATCCGGGTCTCCCAATAACACCCTAGACCCTCAAGTTTCAATCCCGTAAGACCCCGAGATTTTTTCTAGAAAAACCTAGCAGAAATCTCAATTCCCTGAAGCCCCAGACATTGTGAACCCCCAATGCCCGAGAGCTCATGCGATCTAAATCTTGAGAACCCCAGGCCTAATCTGCTTCCCAAGAAGCCCGTCGCGCGTGTGGCGCCCAAGAGGCGCAGACGGTACACAAAGGGGCCTTCCTGGAATGCAATGCATACTGTTTAATCGTAGAAACTGGCAACCCTAAGGACATGTATTTTGGAACCCCGAGGAATACTACAAACCATTGAGGCTTCTGCATATAAAGTCGGCCCAAGCGTTGTCGAAGGTTCGCGGATGAATTGGCAGCTATGTAGCCGCGTTTTAGGCTACAGTACAGAGGTATGCGCATCGAAGGTAAGTGCGACTGACCTGCAGGGTCTGGGGTCTTGGGGTACAGAATTCAGGATCTGGCGTTGAAACGGCTCTGTAGATGTTGCACAAACAAGTACTTGGAAGCATACTCACATACCATCCGAAAAGGGTACCTTAATTTTTAATCTCAAAGTCCCCACTTTAAGGCGCAAGGCAAGAGTCAACCCGAAGCTAAGCCTTAAGCCCTTGAGGCTATAGGCCTGACCCCCTTTTTACGCAAGCCTTGCGGCGTGCTGAAAACCCCCCTAGACGCCCACGGTCAGCAACCGCTCTGAACCCTAAGTTCGAAACCTCGACCTAAGCAGAAGCCACGATAGCCGTAACCCTGCACCCCCCAACCCTAGATCCTCCAACCCCAAACCCTGAACCCTGTCAAAATGGGAGTTTCCGAAATTAGGGGCACCTTATTTTGGTGTCCTTATATTAAGGATCCTACTATTTAGGGTACTATACTAGGGTCCCCTATTTTCGGAAACTCCCAAATCCCCGAAGAGCCCCCGGCCAGTAACCGCCTTCTGCTCTTCGACACCGTGCGGGGCGTCCACGGCCTCCCCTGGCCACTGCTGGGGAACCAAAGCCCGGACTCTCGGACCCGGGGTTGACTTAGTTCTCCAATACCAAACTTTTAAACTTTTGGGGTTCTTATAGTTTAGTAGTAATCTGAAAGTTTAACCTTTTATTTCTGTGGCTATTGGTGGAGTAAGTTGAGGGTTCCTTTGAAAGGGTAGGAAAAGTTGTATTTTAGGGTTGGGCTTTCGGTTTTGGATTCTATGTTTAAGCATTCTTCTCAGCAGCAGTAAAGGGTTCCGTTAAAGGGCTCTAGTGGGCTTTAATCTCAGGGTTCTAGAGTTTAAGGGCCTGATGCTTTTATGGCGTTCCTTCCGGGGTTCTGCGATTTTTTCTCATTCCTGTGAGGGTTCTGTCAGGGTTTACGGCTTTCGGTTTAGGGTTCGATTACCTGGGGTTTTGTTGACGATCATCGGGCTGGCTAGCGGGGTCGCTAATCGAATTGGGATTACCGGAGGCCATGCCTCCTGCACGCTTGTTTTCTTGAGCCATGACAAACGTCGTTGCTTGTCGAAATCCTCAGTTCCTATACATGATCAATCACTGCAGACAGCAGACTGTTTCTTTACACTCCTCCTCACCTGTTGCGAAACTACAATCCGCGATCAGGTGTCACTTCGAAAAGAGGTCTGTCTCTGTCGCAGTATTGGCAAATTTGATATGCCCTTGAGGCTCTTGTAGCATTCCTCTGTCCATGACAATAAGACGCTAAATGAACCCGATCACCATTGGCCGTAAGGTAGCAAGGTCCTTCAAACCCCCGAAGTCGATTCGTCGGCAACATCGTTCCCTCATTGGTCTGTGTGCTCCTTGACACTGTCGTCACCCGAACGCTAGGCATATCGTGAGAACTTTGAGCACCATCAAAAGTCATCAGCCTTGTTCTCGATTCACGACCCTCCCTTCCCGGCGTCCCGAACGATGCCATAGTCCTCGACAATCTCGGTGGTGTACTCCCTGGCGCTTGCTGCGACGTACTTATCATTGACTGCGTGCGTTCAGATGTAGATGCTGGTCTTGTAGGACTCGCTGTCCCATAATCCATTGGACTCGTCGGCGCCATTTGCCTTTGGATCTCCTCCTGAACCGCAGCCTGAGCCCGATTCCGAAGTCGTTCCAGCTTCTTCTTTTTCTTTTGGCACCCCATCCACCATCTGCTAACCCATAGCACGCATCTTTTTAGCACTTCCCATAATGCCACCGCCGCAATGACGCACAGGACCATCATGCCGTAGAACTCCATCGACCCATCTAACTGCAAATCCTCCTTTGTTCCATCTGTGCCAGCTGCTCCTCGAACAAGTAGAACACATAAAAGCACAAACAGCAATATTCCACCGGAAGTCGTTGCCCTCAGAGTTCTCAAAGCCACACTAGACACCTCCGCACTGTAAGGCAAAATCCCCCACAGATATATCAAGTCCTTGAACTTCGGGAGGTCGAAACCCTTTGTTCCCAGGTCAGCCTTCTGCAGAGCTCCCGCCACGTGTGAAATAACCAGCCTCTGCATAGCCACCTCCTGTCTCAAGAACCTCGCCCTTATCCTCAAGTGACGTGTTTTCCAGCTTCCAGGGGCCTCTGTGGCAAGTCCTTGTGCAGCCGCATTGTCGATCCTCAAATGCATCAGCGGAGTAGGTCCCAACTCTGAAACCATAGCACTGACACCAAGTCCCAACTGCACCGCTGCGACTCCTTCGTACAGCTCTGCTTCAGCAACCGACAGCGTAATTATTGGCTGCTTAGACGCTCTCCATGCCACTGGCATTCCCGCTATCTGTGCCATGATGCAACCAAACGAACGGCCTCCTCCTGGTGCGTAGCTCGCGTCGCTGTAGACCACAAGGGTAGGGTCCTCGCCGTTGACCTTGTACAGGATCCCGTAGTCGACTGTCCTGGCCAGATACTGAAGCACTCTCTTACTTATTTCCAGCGTCTTCGTAGGTCTTTTCATTGCCTTTGACGCCATACAAGCCACCGAGTGTGCAAGCTCTGGCCTCGATCTCGTAGACAACCACAGCGTCTCGCCCGTGACTTTCTGTGCCATTCGTACCACAGCCTCCTCAGGGACCGTTGCCTCATCGTCGGTTTCTTCGTCTTGTAACCATTCTCTGCTGCATGGTACTGTCAGAGGATCACCAGGTCTTTCATTAACACCATGTTGTCGTAGCAAATCCCTCACATAACCCGTCTGTCACATATGGATACCTTCATCTTGCAGCCTCAACTCAACGCCGAGGAACCTCAGGGCACCATCTTTTAACAACTCCAAGGCCGAGCATTTCCACTCAGCAATCAGCCAAGCGTAGATTGTTTGTATGATCTCCAGCTCGGAAAGTATGAGTATGTCGTCGACGTAGATCAACACTAGACCTTCAGTGCCTTCCGGTTCACCTTCATAACAGACACGCCACAGATTTTCGTCGGTATCCAAACAGCACAATACCAGGATCTTGTTGTCATACGGTATGCGGGCCCCATGTAGACGTTCATTTCGAAATAAGCTCCAAAGTCTCGGCGCCTCGCGCAAACCGTACAACACCCGCTCAATTTTCCAGGTTTCTCCAAGGTCTGCACCACCAACTGAGACCACTATGGCAGGAGGTGCCACAACATAAAGAAGTTCATCTGGCATAGGTGTCAAGGTGAAGGCATTGGCAATGTCAGTACATCCCGCCGTCCAAGCTCTCATCACGGCATACGCCACACTGATGCGCAGCGTGTCGGCGGATGTGCCGCTCGCATACAGGTTGTCCGGCCCATGCGGCAGGAAATTCCCGCAAACCACAATCCTGCATTTTCGCCGAAACCATTCAACATGCCCGTCCTTGCCTGCAGTCTCATTCGGCGGCTTCGCCGTAAATACGGCTTTCCCAGGTAACACCTTCAGACCACACTTCTTTAGTTCCTTAGTCTGTTCTGGCGTAAGTCGCCTTATCGTGCCGCTGTCGATCAACGCCTTGACCTCCTTGAGGATGGCGGGCTTCCACAGGTGTACGTGCTTCCGGGCTTCTGGTAGGGACACATTATGTACGACTTCCAGAGGAGCTTGTAGTGATTGAAGTAGCCGTTCCACTTCTACATCCTTTGCTTCGTCTGGTGACACCTTCATGAGGAATCGAACCCTTTCACGCCAAAGTTCATCTAGATCACCTTCACAAACTTCTCGGGCATGTTCGAGTCCTCCTATATAAGGATCCCCTTCACATTCTTCACGATCATCACCATCAACTTCTTGATGCAGAGCACACCTTAGCACTTTCGCCCGAGCTTCAATCTCCTCCTCATCCGACGCGTCATCACACACACTCTCGTCCCACTGTTCATCCTCGGCCTCCGATTCTTCATCCAGGACTTCAACACCCGTTCCTTGCAGAGGGAAACCCCAACGCCGTAGGAACGACTTTGCCGTAGGATCCAACCTTTCCACACCCGTAGGGGTATATCCGACCAACACGCACCTTTCCACCTCCGGTTTCATGTGGGCGTGGCTCCCCTTCGGATCGAAAGCGATTGCTGTTTTGTTGATGTTGTACACCTTCCCATTGACACACTGTCCATCAGGAAGTTCTTGTCGTAGATCACGTTCGTCATCACCTCCACGTCGTGGTTGTGCATCATGTTTATCAGCCAGCCATAGTCCTCCAGACTGTACTCCACCGATCTCGACGGCAAAGTTCATGGATCCCGGTCGGTTCCTTTGATCCCGGTGCGGCGGTATGTCCTCAGCCCTGAACACTCCCAACGTAGTCCATGAACCGTCATCATCAAGATCCTCCGCGACCTTCAACCTCAGGACCATGTTCAAGTACTTGGTGAGCCACACCCTTTTTCTGCCATCAACCGAAATTCCGCGTAGACCGCCATGAACGTAAGCACCTAGGATCATTGCCGAAGTTTCTGTTCCACGCGCCGGCCGTCGCATCTTTCCATCAATGCACAACTCCTGGAGTACTTCACCGCATGATGCCAAATCAAACTTGCCGTACTCGTAGTACTGCTTAGCCTTTCGTTCTTGTCGTTCCAGAACTGACATAACGGCCCATTCCTCCGGAGGTAACACACACGCTTTACCTTCAGGTAGTTCTTGGTGTAGTCCCAAAGCACGAAGTTCTGGAGGTGGTTGCTTCCCCTTAAGACGGTGGTCTGGTACAGGTAGATCTATAATTGGTTTCTCTTCCCTCGACGCCTCGCCCTGTTCTTCCTCATCAGGTTGTTGTAGAAGACGCCTTGGATCCACCACACCGGATCTCAGATTCAGGGTCTCGGTTAACGCGCCGGTGGGTCTTAGAACAATTGCTCCGCCCTTGATGGTATCCGACAGCCCCAGGTAGATTCCCTCCTCCCAACGGTCGGTGAGGTCGTACTTCTTGTTGTTGCCGAAGACCTTCCGCCTGATCATAACCGACGTCCCAAATGGTAACAAAGCTGGCTTGTTCAATCCCAACTTGTAGTACATCTGGCGGTTTGACGCATGTTGCATAGCTAACGTCCAATACTTCAACGGAACCTTGGCCTCAGCAAGCAACACCTTGGCCTTCGTCTTGAACCATCGAACACCCCGCTCAGCTGCACCATTGGTCTGGGGAGTTAAAGACTCGGACCGTGTATGGTAGATGTCCCTCTCCAGTAGCCATCGTCGAAGTCCTCGAGACGCAAACTCTGACCCTCGGTCGGTATGTAACCTAGCCACCGGAAAGCCCAGCAACTTCAATCGCAGCACAGCTTCCTGCACCGCCAACATGATGTCTCCACCTCGTCGGTTTCTTACCGGGTACACCATGTAGATCGTCTCCATCTCCACCGGCTTAGTGAGGTCACCAATCAAGGCTTCCCACGACTTCTCATCCTTGTCCAGGGTCTCTTCCTCCTCCGCAACCTCGGATTGGGAAATCTTAAACGTTGTAGTCCCTGTCCATCGCTTCTCCAGCGGTCTAGCCCCCGACTTGTAGCCATGCCAGTCCGAAGTCTCCATTTCAGCTCCGCCGCCGACGTACCTCACCTCCGTAACT